AGCTTACAAAATGATTAAACAAAAAAAGAAATCAAATTCACTTAAAATCCTCCGAGAAAATTACTGGTTCACGATAAAAAGAAAGTCCCTTTGTATAGTCATATAGCTATCAATAAAAGATATAGAAAATAATTATGATATACATTTCGTTTGATTGTTTTTATATATTAAGTGGATTTCGATTATCGTCATTAACTCTTGATATATTATACTATACCTAACGAGACTCCGGATGAAAAAAAAAACACATAATGAATTTATCAGTCAATTATTATATAAGATAATTATACTACTAATAATTTGACTTTAGATATTCAACTCTACTTAACTATTTTTAATTGCAATACCTAATCTCGCAAAAACAATAATAATAATTAGTATTTTAAATTGTTTATCAATAAGATTAAAACTTTATTTCGAATACCTAATCATTAAAATAGTAATTATTTTTTTAAATTTTATTTTGATATGGGAATGAGAAAATTATATTAAAACAAAGTAACGTTTCAACATTTAAATAAATTTAACGTTATGTCAAATGTATTTCGCGTAATAATATAACGCGTGGGACGTCCGTGAAGTTAGCCCCCACTCTTTCCGATCAGTTTCAAACCGGTGTCATATTTTTGCAATTAATTTGCAACTTTTTTCAACTTTTACAAAAAAAATTCCAACCTCATAGTTTCTCCAGAATCAATCTATATAATTATCATATTCATTCGATTTTGTTTTTCTACTTGAAATGTTCAAATAATCGAATTTAAAATGTCAAGAGTAGTATCTTTTTTGAAAAAAAAACGTTATTAATGCACTATGCATTGAGAGGTCGTTTTTTTGATTTTTCTCATACATAACGCATCGTGTCTTAAATTCTTATATGATCAGTTCGTTTGGAATATATCGGCAATTAAAAAGTAAAAGCTGAAAATATATAAAAAAAAAAATGATCGGCCTTGGGCGTAAACATTCTATGAAATTCAATCTGTTTTCAAACAAACCACCAAAAAACGGTAAGTACCTATATAGTGAATACACATTTAATGGAAAGCACAAAACTACAAAAGCAATTTTCGTGTAGGATTTAAATTGAATTATTAATAATAATTATAAATAGTGGCGGAGCAGTAACCGTTCCCATTACGAACCATGCCAACAATACGACTATATCGCATAACTCATCGCGACATTACTCTTTTAAAAATACATCACATGTAAAATACATTAAATAACAACGCGATAAAAACATATACACTCGTGTACAATAGTTTATCTGTTGGTATGTACAAAGAAAAAAAAAGAGCCGATACTGAGGACGGATGTGCCACTAATGTAGGCGAAGAGTTGAGAATGTAGGATTTATAAAGTTGTTTAATTAATATCTATAAGCAACGATGAACCATTGCTAACGAAAAACGATTATGAGCAAAATTCGGTTACAAATGTTTTGAAAGGTCACCTCAAGCACCTACCATGAAATAAGTGGTCGATAAGTTAACCACCACCCCTGAAAGAGTTAAAAAGTACACGTTCCGTTTGTGGAAAAATTAACGCGATCAATTTAGAGGTTGACGCTCTTGGCAAAAATTAGTAGATTTCAATATTTGATATAAATAAAGCTCGGGTGTTAATGACCAAAATTTTTTTGAAACATGCATTTAAAAATTTCAAGATATGCAAAAAATATCAAAATATAGAATTATATTTTTTATAATTTAGTTTATTTTATTAATTTTCAACAGAATAATGTATCAAATGTATCTATTTTTCAACAAATATTTGTAAATAAGGTGTTAATATTAATTCAAAAATTAAAATGTTACATAGGTTAAATACTTTGTTTGGTAAATAGTTAGTAGTGACCGTACGACTTTTTAATATTGTACTTAAAATTGTTTAAAATATGATAATAAATCTAAAAATAATCAATATATGCAAAATAAGTTTGCATATTTGAAATCTAGACTCCATGTCTAGATGTCGAATTCGTATCATATTCGGGAATAATTCTGATTTCGTTAAAAATGTATGCAAAGTCATGAACATCCGAACTCTAAATATAAATAAAAGAAAATGAAGAAATAATACCAGACGAGGAAAAATAAATTATAAAACAGCAATGCGGGACGTATAAACGTGTACATACAAATACTGATACACAAAATAATGGTTTAGTACAAGGAGCTCTATTTTATGGTTTGGTAACAATGGTAATATAATCAGCGAAACGGACAAAAATTACTGTTTATCTCGATAGATAACATTTCTTTACAAATTACAATTGATGTCGTTGTATCACTGAATTGTGTATTTGATTGCAATATAATATCATTATCATTATTTTTTTTTATATTAAATGAACGTTACAAAGTCATTTTAAAAATAAACATTACAAAATTTAAGGTATATGGAATAGAGGTAAAAAAATAAAGCTTAATCGATTCCATAATAATTAAAAAAAAAAAAAAAAAACAGAAATCAAATTCCCTTAAAAATCCTCCGAGAAAATTGCTGGTTCATAATAAAAATATCACCCTGTGTATGTAATGTGATGATAAGATAATTACATATTATGCATTACATATTTTCTTGAATAATATTTATTTAATATTGTACCTGTTTTTCCTACGGTTTTTCATATTTATAACGAAAACAGCTTGGAAAACCGCAAAAAACGACCTCCCTAAAATACCGCCCCAGTCAGATTTCCTTTCAGAAAAATGCCTATGATTGTAAATCGGAGCGAAATTGCTCGTAGAAAAGATGTCCACCGAAAAAAAAAAAACATTATTATAAAACCAATACATTCCTCGCTCCACTCGGTATCTAAAACCAGTGTACGGTGGTCGGCTGCCTGAAAAGGTTGACGACCCCCGCGCTAACACATACTTAATAGGTACGGCGTGACGGTGAACAGGTTCAATCTATGCCGCCGTAGCTAACTGCGATTTTATTTCAATAGCAGTAAAAGTTGCTACTGCTACTAAAAATGTAACAATAGCCTGTTGTGACAATGATAGAACCATGATCGTTAATCGGTGTTATGACGTATTACAATAATAATTGTTTTAAAGCTACTCGCAGCTATTTTCATGCTGGAGAACGGTCTGTGATTACTAGGTACTGAAAAATCGCCCGTGAAAAACCATTAGGTAGTATTGATGGGCAACGATATAATCTTGGGTATCGATATCGCATCGAAAATATTTACACCGTGAATCAAATTATCCAGTGGTACTAATAGTGGTACCTATCTTGTTCAAATAGCAAACGTATTTTATCAGTGAGAAAAATATTATATTGAACACAACACAATATGGGCAAACCGAAAAAAAAAGTATTTTCGAACTGTAAGAAACCACGTAATACCCAACTTTACGGATAACAACATTAATAACTTTTATAATAATATAATAACGTTATCGACCAACAGATATTATTATTTAATATTTATCATAGCTACAAATAATTCCCGATACAGGGTATAATATCAATATCACTAGAAGGTAGGTAGGTAAGTAGGTAGGTAGGTAGGTACTATTACCCGTTATCACTACTACACTGTTATTGAATGTATAATAAACATGTTAATATGGGTATTCTGTACGTAGATAATTCTCATTTTTAATTTCGATAAGTATCTATTGAAAAACATCATTCGGTATGAAACCAAATGATTATTTCGTAAATATGATCTGGATTTTAAATAATGCATGGATTAAAATACCGCCGGCGTAATTTACTGGAGCTCGAGAAAATTAACGAATCGCTCAAAGGTCAAACGAACTACTTTCTCTGTGGAAATGGCGAACGAGATTCGCGAAAACGCGAAGCAGTCGGCTGTTCGCGGGACGACCGACGTGCGACGACGGGAAAAGATAGACGATGTCGTTTATTACGTACCCGTTCCTGTTCCCCTTGATTGAAATATAAACCCCAAAAAACATTCGAAAACATCGTGCATGACGACGATAATAGTGACGCATAAATATTTCGGTTCGCTAATGTCCGTCATGCACGACATTAAAAGCGTTAAATAATGTGAACAACGACTCACCAACTTAGTTGTAGTATGGTATCTATAAGGTGCTGACACTCTGTTGCACTTGTTACAATAAATCGATCACCAGTAACAATATGTATTGGGAAAAGAAACTGCAAAAATAAACACTACATAAAATTAATTAATGCAATGTAATAAACGAAACAGTTTTCGACACACGTGTGATGCACTAATGTTGACATTGGGTATCAGCATGCGATCTTCTAGAAATCCAGTCAAGGTTGAAGGCGTAGCAGTTGTCAAATATTTAAGGTTAGATAGGTGTGATTTTTTTTCCTTGTTAAAAAAATGTAATGTGGTCAGAAAGAACTACAGGTGTCTCTCTCTTGGAGACAACACGACTTCATCTACACTCTACAGGCATGTCCAATGGCATACCCAGTGCCGCCAATTGCCACAACCGGTGTGGCGGTGTTGCATTAGCCGACAGTAATTGACATGTTCGGGACTCCGATAGTTCTGTTTATATCTTCTAGTTCTCTCCGTGATTACAAAAAAATCAATAATCCAATATGCATCCGTCGAAGAAACGACATATTTTTCCCGAGTACCTATCCGTCTTCCGTAAATCGTTATTTGGTATTTTTCTGTAACTTTAAGTTTAGAATTTAATGACATTTAATTGGTATTTGTTTGAGTTTTGCAAAACTTAAGTAACAAGATAATTTTTTTTTTTTGGAAATTTCAATACTTACTATGTGTACACAAAACCGCTCAAAAGTAAAAAGTAAGTCAAGAAGCCCAATGTCTCTTTTAAACGTCTAATTAATTTTAATTTTCTATTGGCGTGTAATATTTAATATGTTTTATTAATTTTGACATCATTCAATTTGTTTATTTTTGCGTTATAGAAATCTGACTATTGTATTTTATATACAATAGTCAGATACAATATTTTAGTAAAAATATTGATAACTAATGTATTTATTATAATTTAATAGTTAATACTATCAAAGTCCATTTTTAGAATAACCACACATTTATATGGGGTAATTATTATAATTTATAATAGTAGCTACTAAATACACTGATGTACCTACAAAATTAATCCTAAGTTCTTATGATAGAAAATTTATAAATAACTGTGTAAAAATTAGGATAAGGACAATAATATTATTCAAAAATTCACTGGTTTAACTCGGAGAACCTCTACTGAAACTATTAGGACATCCGCATTAGCTTTATTTTATTAGACTGCAGAGTATGCTACGTTTGCCTAAAAAACTAAACCCTACTATATGTATTATTATAGGTGCTGTAAAAGCTACTACTAATCATTGACTCCCTGTGCTATCTAAAATCCTTCCATCTAGTATCTGATGCTCAATGGCTACTACAAGATAATGGTCGAAGTATACGCACAACCCATGAAGATATTCTTACAAATTGTGCTTTGAGACTTAAGTCAAAGTAGTCTACCTGCCCCACAGCCGAGGGTTAAATTGAAAACCAGTTCAGTGGATGGAAAAATTAAAGTCTATTAAACCCTGATAGACACCAACTGATCAATGATTCATGCTCCCAAGTATATGTTTTCACACTAAAACAAAGATAATGGATCACCTTAAATTAAATCCAATATGGACATGGTAGATAAGATGTGGAAAAGTGCTATTCAAATGGAACATAAAAAACTCTCCAGCTTATGACTGTCACCATCCATCTCAAACAATGGAGCATATCATAAATTCAATTATTTTGTGATTTCAATAAATCAATGAAAAAAATTCAATGCCTCGAATGTGGCACTAACATGGAGTGAATCACTGAACATTACTCTATGGAAAAGTTAACACATTACCTTGATACAGATGTTACCATTTTATGAATATTTTAATTATTATGTTTTTGACTAATTTTATGTTATTTTATTAATGTTTATATAATTTTAAATATTTTATTGAGTTGTATTTTCTGATAACTATCATACAATAATAATCCTAAGCTAATGTATAAAAAATAATAATAATACAATATTACTGTCCTATTCTTAGTAATACAAAATTGTTTCATTTATTAATCTTTTATAACCTATATAATACATAATACATTCTATATTTTGGTCAGCTTTATATTAACCTATCCCCTAAAGTAGCTCTAACAAAAATAATTAAGTTTTATTTACATATATTTACCTACTATAATAAACAGTAATAGATATACATCAGAATTTGGCTTCACTTGTTATATACGAGTATTTTTACATAAACATTTTACAATGAGTTATATTATCAAGATATAACTTACAAGTTATATTGCTAAAATTAAAAAATAGTAGACATTAGATCTTTTAATTTTTAAGAAATATTTGTATTTTTAAAAACCTTTTACATGTTATTATATTACATTATGTACCTACATTAAGTTGTTCATCTTTGATTAAGTTATATATATTTTTGTGAAATCAGTTAATAGTATTAAAAACTTGTAGTATGGATATGTAAATATAACAAATAAAAACTATATAAAACTAATGTAAAACTATAAAACAAATTGTAATTTATTTTACTAATTTGTATTTTACTTTTGCCAACTATTATATTTTTTTCATTTTATGGATTTTATTCATTCTTATTAGAATCATATAAGTACTTATTCCTTTATATTGTTATACATTTCAACAGACTGAGACCAATAATAATTTTTAATTTAGCAAATTTAATAATACATAATATTTAATATTACATAATTTAAATATAGAAAATAATTTATGAATAAATATTAGTAATATAATTATAAAAAGATTTAATTTATTGAAAACTAAATAAATTTAGTTGAACATCAATAGCTAATTTTATACAATAAGGCTTTGTAATTCTAGGCTACAATTTGCATTACCATTGATCATTTTATATAAAACTTTAAACCATAGTATTATTAATGTTGTAGTATTATTTATATTAATTTTACTAAAATTTCATAATTTGTATAAGTATTAAAACCTTGTTTAAAACCAATGCAGTACTAAAATATTTGATTCTCAGTACAGAAGAGGTTAAAATTTAATGATCATCAAATGATGATTTTTTTGTAACTTACAATCAATGACTTTAATATTGGTGCACTGGAAAGTGAGATTCTTAACTGATCAATTGCTATAAAATGTTATCAAATGTTTCAGAATCCAATCATAATCAACATTATTTTTGTTAAATACCTTAATGGTACTTGTTTAGATTATATATGAATTTACCTTAATATTTTACTATGCCCAAAAATTTCAAAAACTTTTTTATTAATAGGGTACTTCATTTTTACTACAACTTCCACTTGCTTACAAGTAAAACTTTGAGTTCTATTTAGTACACATAGGAGAGCTTTATTATATTATTTCTTTGTTTCACCAACTACTATTATGTCATCAAAATATGGTACAACCTCTTTTATATCACCAAATGTCTTACTAATTTTCCTTTGAAAAACTTCTGAGGCTGAGCATATACAGAAAGACATCCTTAAAAACTGAATAGATATACAACTCAGTGGAGTCAAAAATGTACAGTTGTCATCTAAATTAACTTGAAAGAAACCATCTTTCAAGCCCAATACACCTAAGTACTGTATATCCACTAATCTCACTAATATTTCATCAATAATGGTTATAGGATATTAGGATGTTCTTTTTGTGATTGTCAAATTTAAATGTTTTGGATCCAAGCATAATCTGAGACTATCATTTGCCTTTTTTATTATCACTTAGCGGTTGAACCACTCAGTAGATTCTTTAATTTTTCTAACTAGGCACCTGTTGTTTTTTTAGAGTTTTAAGTACTTCTTTGAAATCTGGAACTATACTAAGAGGTATTCTTCTATTTGAACTTATTATCAGCTGTACTTTTTTATCAAACATTACATGGTAAGGAGATCCTGGAACTAACCCTAATCCACCAAACACTGTACAAAATAAATTAATTTGGTCTTTTGACTCAACATTTATTTGATTAATTTTTATTAAGTCTATGCGCTTAATCTACTTAAACTCAACGCATGTTTCTAATCCTAATAAGGGAATTGTTTTTTTTCCATTAACTATCACAAAGTTAAGAACATATTTGTTCTATCTATCACTTTCCCACAATGAGCATTTTAGAGACACTTCCCTTTTTGGTTTGATTATTGTGTCTAACAAAAGTTACACTTTTTTCTTTAGGTTATACTTTTAGGCTAACTTTTGCTGTTTTAAAATACTTTGTAACTTTTTCCCAATTACGATTTTGCTCTCGCGGCGATTGCTATGTAATGCTATGCAATTGTAATGTAACATCGAATATATCTATAATTAATCTATCACGATGCATTTTATCCTGCTCTTTGAACTCAAAAAATGACGATAAAATCTTTAGCTCAATTGTGAACTTGCCAATACTTTGGTCAGTGGTTTTTTTTGCACTGGAAAACTAAAAACATACATAACCATAAACACCGTTTTTTGGGAGGATTTTAGTAGTTCTCAAACTTTTAAAGAACAGTTTCAACTTTGACTTCTTTGGGTAGACCAAATTTAGATGTTATATAATTTAACACCTTGGTCTCCTACGTGACTGAAAAGAATAGTGATCTGTTGTTCATCATTGAACTGATTTTTGAATGTAACTAACATATATATATATATCATACCTTTGCTTCTTTTTAGTCATGGTCTACTCCGGCTCTTTTCAAAATTGAAAAAATTACTATCTAGTTAACCTTTTCAAATTCTTTTCCCAGATCCATAAAAGCTATGAATGTAAACATATCTTTTCTGATTCTTTTCTCTCAAAGTACTCTTAAGGCCAGTATCACTTTTCTTGAATCCAAATTCTTCTTAAACTCAAATTGGGCTTCTAATAGTATGGCGTCCATTTCCCCCTCTATTATTCTCGCCATCATTTTTGTTAATATTTTTGATGTACACATTAAAAGGCTGATTATACGATAATATTCACATATTATTGCTGAAGGTTTCTTTGAAACAAAAATAATTTCACACTTTATACAAATTCTGGGGGAAAACTTTCTGAGTTATATATGTATATCTTAAAAAACTCACCCTATAGTTGTTTAAAACATTTTTATCAAAGTTCTATATTTAATCAAACTACTCCTACAGCCTTTCCTGCCTTAAAATCCCTGAGCGCTTTAAGTCGCTTCATTTTCTTTCTCCAGTTCTTGGTCAATTAGTTCTGTTCCGTCACACAATTTCTCCAGATATTCTTTTCATTCTTGCTCCTGAGTTATCTTCCATTTCTCGACTTTTTGGATAGTGAAAAACTTTTAAACTGATCTGTACGCTGAATCTTTGTTTCTTATTTTCTAGACCTCTATCTCACTGCTCTTCTTTTCTAAGTACTTTTCCTTTGCATCTTTGTGTTTCCACATTATTTCATATCTCAGTTCCGTATACCTCTTTTTTACTTTTCTCGCCAGTCAGGTCCTTAAATTTCCTTCTTTCACCAATGAGATAGACTATATCGGATGGTATCGATTCTTTTCTAGGTAACAATGAACACTTGTCTTCCTTTAGAACTACTGTTGAAGCACATTTAATAGTGGTTTTTAAAATATCTCATCTGCTACTTATGTCTACCCGCTCTTGTATATCTATTTTGTTTATGTTTCGTTTATACGTAATATTTGTTTTTTCCTTCTTTAGTATCCTAATTTGCTATTGGTCTTTACTCGTTTTTTTTTTTTAATTTAGATTAAACTTCATCATAAATAGATTATAATCGCTTTCTGCATCCCTTCCAGGAACACTTCTACTGTCTTTGACCTAGTTTCTGAATCTCTTTTTACTCACTATATAGTCTATCTGATATTTTCTTTTCAAAATTTACAAAAAAAATGTGTACGAATACAATAAACAGAAAAAAATTATTTTTCAGCATGTCAAATGAATGTATAATACATCGTCCAATTTATTTTTTACAAATTAAAATAATTTGTTTTATTATTTATAATTGTATACAGAATAATAAATTTCAATAACTTCAATATATTCGAATACTCGTACCTAGTACCTATATTATATAGGTGCGAGATATTTATATATTATTATAATTAATATTTGTATAACTATTTCTAATATATTATGTATAAAATGTAAAAGTATAAATTCAATAAAATGTTTATTATTTTTTTTTTTTTTTTGATATCCTATGACATTAAAAGTAATCAATAAAATAGAATTATTATCAATTTCTATCTTTAAAAAAAAACTCATTGATAAGAGCATCGAATAAAAATATTATTCTACAAGTGAAGGAGTTAATATAGGCAACTTTATATACCGATCCGAACAATATTTTGTTCCCCTGGCGAACGTTTATAAACTCACAATATTTTTCTGAGTCCGTCCGATTCTCACTGTTTGGCATAACTATATTAGACTTCTATAACAAATATCTACATAGTTTTTAGAGAGTACTCTAGATGATGTTAGTAGCCTTGCCAAAAGTGTATCACTTATCACACGTTCGTCCGGTATCCTATACATCTTGCTGAATTGATTTTCGGAAAAGATGAACCCAATAATGCCTTATCAGTTATATAGTTTAATGTGATACGTTATCACGTTATTACATATTTTTATTTTTATTAATATCTAACACATTTTAATGAAAATATGAAATAATTTGCATAATAATTCTTTAATATGATCATTGATTACGCCGTGTACTATGCATATTTCACCAATAACATGGTTATAATATTATCAGCTTTATTAGTTTGTCACTGCAGCCAGCAGATAACATTTCAAATTAAATTAGTGTGAAGCCGTGAACTAGCCGTAGCTATTATACCTGTTTCACACGCACGTTTATACCGATCCAATTTTAATCATCATTAGTCTACCAAAAACTTGACAATCACCAGTGCCCCTATCACACATGTAGGTTCCCAAAAACTACGCCACGTACAGTGTACG